GGAGCGTTCCGGTTTTACAACCAATAACCATACAATTTCGTGCATCGGTTGTGGTAGCTGTCTCGTGCCTGTCCACTTGGATAAAAGAGCAGAATGAAGATTGTAAAGTTACGAGCAGAGTCAAAAAGAGGATACAGAATTCATATAGATTTGGGTTTCAAGAATATTGAGTAGGTACACGAGCGCTACCGGTTGCGACACTGAGCCAAACAACTCTTTCTCTAACCACTGGTTACCGTGATCCTGGAGTCCTTATCCAGGGAGCTTAGGGCGGCCTACGCGAGCAATTCTCCTGGTCAGCATTTTCATACCTTCATGCCAGGTCTTAGTTTGATCACCCTTGTTCTTTTTCCATCCACTGCCTGCACATCATTTCTGTCTTAGTCGGCAATCATCGGAACGCATAAATCCCGCACTCCACTATAATTCATTAACATTCTGGAATGGAAAACTGTGTGGTAACGCACGACCTAGAAACAGACTATACGCGTTGAATTTTTAATCAAACTTTACTCCTACAGAACAAATACCACAACTAACTGCCATGATTTTGGGAGCTAACAAAACTCATATCCAGATTTCAAATGATGAAAGCGACTGCACAGACAAAGAGAAAAAAAATCCGAAATTGGATCATTGTTATAGGAGCTTTTTCAAGAACGACCCCGATGGGTTTCGTTCAAGATCAAGTATCTGTCGCGTGGAAGAACCGTTTTCGTCGATGCGGTTCTGCCATCACGAATAAAATAATTAATAAACGAATTCACTTGGACAAAGCAGTCTCCCTGCTGAGTATCCAACATTTTCACCGTCAATCTGTACCAACAGAACAGCTTTTTTTACTCCGCCCTAGTTGTCACTTCACAGTCCCCTCGTTCTCTCTGCATGCGGTGAATCGATCCCATCATCCGACAATGTAATTGGGAGGCCAGATCCCGTCACACGTGTCCCTGTTCATTTCTTTTCTTGGCGATGTTTGCTTGCCCGTTGCAATTATCTGACGACTATCCGTTCAGTCTGATGTCGGATGACTCTCGTGTAGCGACGCTTGAAAAGCGTGAATCGTGGTCTCAAGTTCAATAATGACACATATCCTGTAGCTGTGCCAAATGCCAAAGCCATTTCTGTCGTGCCATCGATCGAATCCCGTGCAGGGCAATGGATCCGTTGAGCAGAAAACGTTGGCGAAAATTCGGACGATACATGAACAGACCTTGGATGTGAGCCGGTGCAATCAGTAGTTTGTTCAACACCAGTCCGATGAACACATCGTCGAACGGGAAAAATTCGGTAAATCGTGATCCCACATACAAATCGAGGGCCATTGGTGCACCCATGAAAAATGCCCCGGCCTGAACGAAATTGGGATAATTGTTGTACGGGAACAGGGTCTTGTTCACACTCCACTTGGATCTTTCCCGTAGTACTCCGGCTTTCACGGCCAAATCACCGACCACCAATCGGGTCTGTAATCGCATATCCAACGTGTCAATGAATGCCAAAGTCAATCGCGGATTCACAAAAAAATCGTCGTCCACAAACATAAGCCATTTGGCTTCGGGACAAAATGCGACCGCCCATTGTAGGCCGAATAGCATTTTATATGTGTTGTTGTAGTAGTGATCAACAAAATCTTGTTGAATAATATCTCTGAAAATTTGTATCTCCTCTCGTACCTTTGGCATCCACGTAACTGACTGATTGGAGACACCGAGCAAGAACACGTGTCGTACTATGCGACCACCCCAGCAACGTTTATCACCCCACAGTTTGCGTATCGCCATTCGGCGATGTGTATGTATTCCGGCCGACTTGATGAGAATTAACAGGTCCAAAGTATTCGCTGTACCATTACCACAGAGTAGAGGTAAAAGTACAAGTGGATGAAAATTACGATCAGTGATCGAGTGTTTTCCTATAGAGTACCCTTGTTTAAATTGACACAGTTTTCCGGGCAAATCCACGTGCCTGGGGAAGTTGAAATATGCAGTTCCTATGAACGGATGACGATCGGCAATTAGACGACGGTTGAATTTGGAAATGGTTACCGGCATTTCGCAGTTTAACTTTTTATCCTTTCGGAAGATGTACCCGTTCAATGTGTTTAAGGCCTCCCATCGAGCATTTTTATAGCGCACGACGTCATCAAACTTTTCCGGGATGAATGTGTCCACTTGGATGTCAGAATGGACGGGTGTGATTTTGGGATACGGTGTTTGGCTGGTATTCGGGGCGAGAATGAAAAAATGCAGGGACATCACAAGCAGTTGGGAGAACACGGCACAAATCGCGCAGCACTGAAGTGTTATTCGCAAGTTTCCCCAATGAATCATGTTGGGATTAAAGATCAGAAAGGACGTCTACTGTGCCGTTTCAGTGCTTCATGAAACCCCTCCTTCCGGGCTTTCAAACCAATCGACCGACAAAAGGTCGTCACGTGACATCAATGTATCACGAACTATCATGCCTCTGGTTTGCAATATTGTAGACTGAGAGGATCGATCGATTTGGATGGTAAAACACGCGGTAGCACCATCTTATTTTGGATGAAAAACCTCCGCTTCCGAAAGCCTCAGTATGGTCAGGAGAGGGAGCAGCGGGTTGCGGCTGATTACCCCTTATTTGCAGCTCGCAAAATGCTCCCATAAGTGTCTCCAATAGTTTCTGCTGAGGAAGCCCCACTCACTACCTTCTTTAAGCGGTGTTTTGCCACTAAAGTGAGGGGACGAAAAGCCGATGTCAGGGTCGGTGAAACATTGGGGTTCACCTAGGGGAGTTAGCCAAAAACCCTGATTCCAAACCAACCATGATGAGACGTACGAACCCCAAACCCACCTACAGATTCCTGTTCGTGTTAGTGATCACCGGGTGGATTGTGTATCGAGGTGTATTGGCCACCTTGGACGTTTGACCCCGTCCGAAAGGCGAATGATCCGATGAACTGGGCACCAGCACGCAATAGACTGCGGTTTTCGCACACCGCCCCGCTGCCTTGCGGGTCAAGCTTTGGATAACCGAAGGCTATGGTTGTGAACTTCCTAAAAAGGTTCACCTGCTTTCGCCTGGGCAACCTAGCAATGTTGCGCTCTAGAGCAATTCATTGATCTTTACTTTTTTTATTTGGATTATTGTACTGCGATTTGTTTAGCACAGTCTGAACTCAAACGTGTGTCAAAATAATACCTAAAAACCTCAACGATACAATTCTTTTCGAAGCTCAGTCAACTTGAATGACTGTTGTTAGAAGATATACCACACTACCTGGTGATGAATTTATTTGGAACAAATCAGCTTTAGTTTCAGTTCAATGTTCCGCGGGAGGTCACGGAAATAACCGACGTTGATGAGTAACTGGGCAGCTGAAAACTGATAAGAAATAACTGAAACAAGCATCTTGAGGGACTCCAAAATCATTCAGAAACATTTTTAAAACTACGGCTTAATCTCCTTTTTTGAATAGTTCCTATGAAATGGCTTTTCAACCATGACAACCGAGTGACTACAGATTTCGGAGATCGTAGAACGGAATCAAAAGTGGAGCGATAATCGAGGAAAACAACGAACGGATTTTCAGGAATTGCGTATCAGTGCAAAGACAACCATTTAATTCACACAAATTGAAGGTATTCATTCGGAGAACTCATATCAGACCAAAAACGGTGTCCATAGGACTGTACATACTGAAAATTACATTTAAAGACTGAAATAAACGGATTAAGAGGATAAACAGACTGCTGAAAGAGTCCCACAGAGTATACTCAAAACAAAACAATAGTTGTGAACAAGCTCGTTTTCAGATATTAGTATTCATGCCAATACATCTGAATACATATAATTATTTGGGAAGATAAAAAACGATTTCATTATGAGACCAGAAATCGGATTCACCATGTTCACATTTGTTTGTCCAGTCATCCGATCAATGAGATTACCCGTGATACGGTGTGTGGGGTGGGCCAGGAAAGCTTTAACGCGTGTGCAAAATTTTTTTTGGTACACAGAAGTTGTGCAGACCGAATGCCCGTTGCTTGCGCTGTGGCCAGCATCCGATAGCGAACCAGCCACCATAGTCGCACACGAACTTTATATAGGATATAGATAGTCTCGGCCCCGTCCACAGTGTGGTTTGTTTCAGCTACTTATGAAATCACTGCAGTGGTGAGTGACCCAAACGCTTCAGTGTTTAGCCACGCAGGATGGTGTCCAATAATCCGTTCGGACGAGCGCCTGACCGTGCGGCCTAAGTACGTACAGAACCACTGGTGACGCGGATCAAGACACACTATTCAGCCATCTAGTATCACGGTTAGTCCCATCTAGTATCCTTGATAATTTGAAGGAATTCAACCAGTTAAGTAAGGCGGGCTCTTGGCGCAACTTCCCGATTTGCATCTCTTGCATACGGAGGTTCTGCCTCGGCTCGTGGTGATGGTGTTATTTCGACAGAAAACCCACATAACCTGAGTCCCACAAGATACAGTTTTTCTTCTCCTCATTGACGATCTTTCATAACCAACTCCTAATCTTATTCATGGTTCAGCTGCCGATACCAAACGAAACTTTCCGTGCTTCCTCTATCACTACCGTTGGTGATCGACTATCTGCTTGCGGTTCATACAATTCAAACCAAAAAACAGTTGCGATTTGGGGAACTAAAAGTCGTCGCATTTCGGATATATGCTTTTCTAACGTCTACTGTACCACAGTCTTCATGGTTCAGGGGATTATAGCTTTACTGTCATGGAATGAAAAAAGGATTCATGTACGAAAAATCTGCAAGCAAACGTCAAAGACGAACTACTAATAGAAAAAAAAGATCTGTCATCGAATTTTAAAACGCGTGGACCAGTATTTAGATTCAACTTGTTCTCTAATCCTTGATAAAAGGTGGCTATGTTACCACTTGACTAACAAGCAGGAGCTCGACCAGTCTGCATAATACGTTGGAAAGACTTCCCGGTGATCCGCAGTTCAAGTCACGACCAGCAGACCAAATTTTTAGAACTGCCACTTTGACTGCTTGATCGTTTTCAGTTTTAACAAACAATAACCATGCACTTCCATGCAGTGCTTTTAGTTACTGTCTTTTGGCTGCCCATTCGGGTGAACAATAGGTGGAAAACAGGAAGGTTGAAAATAGGATTGAGGAGAAATTGAGAAGTTCAGTGATGCAAAGAAATTGAGATGCACGAAAGCCACTGTTTACAACACCCAGACACATCACTGTGTCTCTAACCATCGGGTATGACCATCCCGAACCAGGGACCTATGTGACCCAGACTCCTGGTTAAGGTTTTCATACTCTCATGCCAAGTATTATCTTGACCACACGGCTTTATTTCACTCATTACCTGCCTCGGTAAACCATTTGGCGACATGCGTACCCATGCCCCAACCAACGTAATCTATGGAGGTCGACCACTTGCTCCATTGGCCGACCGCATTTACCTACAACTCTGCGCCTAACCTCAGAATTGCTCGTCCGGCTGCCTCACCAGGTTCGTGCAATGCTGCGTAGACAACGGTGATCAAACACCGACAGTCTATCTTTGTCCTGTTTTCTTAATGGCCAAGTTTCTGCCCCATATAGCAGAACTGGTCGAACTGCTGCAGTATACACTCGATCCTTCACAGACAGCCGGATGCCACAACGCGCCACAGATGCCTCAAGTTAGCAAATGACAACCGAGCCATCTGTATGCTGGCTGACACTTCATCCGTGGTGTGTCCACCGGGTGAGATGTAGCTGCCCAGATAACAAAACTTATCCACCTCCTCTATTACTTCCCCAGTGAGAGTGAGGCTCGGTGCTGGACCAACCCAGTCTTGCAGTAAAATTTTGCACTTTGAAGGTGCAAAACGCATACCGAACACGGCTACACTGGCATTCAAGCTGTCCAAAAAAGCTTGCAACCTACCTAGATCTTCACTTTGTAGCGCAATGTCGTTTGCATACTCTAGATCAGACAGTCTGCCACCTGGGAGTAAATCGATCCATGATCGACCGGATAACTACCGCACCGCGTCTTTTCGTGCCTGCCATTGTCAAAGTCACAAGTGCTGTTGTTCTTGTTGTTGATGGTTACCACAAGTAAGTGTGATTAGGGCGTGAATCCACAGTGACAGTTATGGGAACCGGTAAACTAAAAGCTGGATCTCACTTAGAGTAACAAAGTACATGAAGTGCGACATTGACCAGTGCAGCACTCAACTTGTCTATCACATGATCAGGAGTGCAATAGCACGGTTGGGACTTTACCAAAGACTTATCAAACTCATCGATATCGATGAGATGTAACATGAGGCAAACTTGTAATGTTGTAGCCGACAGCCGACGACCGGTGGCCGCTTCAAGATATCGAGGGAACGTGTTCGTGTTCTTGAAGCTGACCATTAGCTCTCCCCTTCCTAAGATGGATCGGTATTGTTCAGTGTGAAGTACAATATCCTAAAAAGAGATCTAAAAAAGCAATAAATCCAACAACTCTATCACTGGGTCCGCGGAAACCGGACTTGGTCACATTAAAGACGGGAAAACACCAAAGTTTTCTTTCATAACCACAGTTCTTGACCATATGGTCGTTGGCAGGTACCACGGGAATGGTTGAGCATGGGAATACAAAATAAAAACAGACGCGAATTACAGATTACCTCGTCCGTGAAAGAAGACAATTTTTCGAGTGCAGAAAACTGGATAGCGTTAGTTTACACAAAAGTGGATATGTCATAGTCAGGTAGGAACCTCAGACAAGCTGTGAATACAGCACAATAGTTTGGGTAGGGTCCGCGGAACGAGGGGAGTGAACTTTTTCTCGGTGCAGTCAAAGCATATGCGGCGAATAGAAACGTTGCAACCAGTCGATTGGAGAGAAGAGATCATACAAGAAGATAAATCTAAAAAAAGAAAGAAGTATGATAAAAATTCCTGGGGGATGATA